AATGGCTATACATTAAACTTTCTTCTGAGACCCACAATTAGAATAAAAGACTTAGCAAGATTTCTACATATGAACCCTATCTATCAGATTACGTTAACTATAAGGCTGAAATAAATCCTGGCTCAAGAATCTAGCATATGGCCTCAAGTTCTTCCTGATATCCAATTTTAAGGCCCCAGAGTTGAGGGTGTTTTCCGTGGGAATTCAAGTAAACTCCAATGAGAGAGAATGGGAGCTATCAGGCTTTGCTATCCAGCTATCTCAGTCTTAGGACTAGGCTAGTCTTTCCCACAAGTCTTACTAGACTGAGCTCAATTTCTTCTTATTCCCCCCTACATTATTAATATACTGATTTTAATTCAATGAACATCCTATTCATCACTGAAACAGTTATCTAGAACTTTAACGTTAAGTTCTATATTAACTTAGTGCTCTCCCATCCATCCATCTGCTTCCCCTCTCCAAGGTCACAAGTTGTCATTAGTAACAGTAACGGATGTTTTTCAAAGAAGTATATTAATATGTTATCTCATGTTTAAAGCAACAAAGTCATGGACCAGGCATTAAATACCAATATCTGGTAAAATGATTTCTTAAGCAGTATGAAAAGTAGAATAATCCTTTTGTAAAACAATTTAGCAAAAATGTATAAAAAGCCATTCTAAATATTATTAATAATAGCCTCTAACCTCATACTCATTTCTATAGCAATCAGTTCCAAGAAAATAATCTAAAATATGATAAACAAAATTTGTAATAGGATATACATCACAGTGTTATGGATAAGAGGCAAAGCAGAGACAACATAAATGTTCAATAAGAAGAAAATGATGAATAATGGTACATCTACCTAAGGTCTGTACTTTGCCTATAGGAGCCAATGTAAGTTTTTTAATTTGAAAACTGTCATAATATTTTGAATGTTTGTCAAATTATAGAACCTCACTTTTTATCCTTAATAGAATTTAGAATGTTAAATTAAAAAATGAGAGATGAAAGTAGGGACCGATATAAGCAAGTTATATACTGAGGTTTGTATTGTCAGATCTGTTTTATAATATGCTTCAAAGTCATATTAAAAGATAAATAAAATGTGTAAAACTATCAAATAAAATTCTATATACTTGTGTTAATAGAAACAAGTATTTTCTGGACCAAACACCATAAATATTTTCCTTTAAAATGAGAGTTTCTTCATATCCAAATTAAGAACTGGAAATATTTCTTCAAAGCAAAATGCCAATAAAGAATAAACATATAGTATATAAGTAATAGAGAATCATATTAACTAGCTCTATCCTATAGTATATATATTAGAGAGTCAACATTTAAAAAACTTTGTATTTAAAAAAATAGTAAGCAAAATTGTAATATATCATGTTTTCTATATAGTGAAAGATAAAATGAGTAAGATCAATACATAAAAATAAGTGATTTTGCAAGTAATATGAAGTGGTATAGAAACTCATAGTCAAAATATTCATTTTTATATGGTAAATTACTTCAATTAGTGATTTATGAAGTTAGTACATCATTTATACTGGTGTTTCGAAATTTTCTTAGACTGTGGACACTTTGGCCGAGAATACAAGGAGCTAATGAAAGCAATCTTTGAATTAATATGCACATATGTATTTTCTCAATGAATGATAAAAATATAACTACTATCATCTGGTATTCTGAAATTACTTTTGATGTTAAAACAGAATTCTCATTTCCATTTGGAGACTATGAACTCTATATAGATCTATAAAAAGTAAAAAATTTTAAGAAATATGAAAAAAAGAAATATATACTACTTTAGTTATATTATTCTAACCTAACCTCATTCTTAGCAACTTACTATTTAAATGTAACATTTTTTTAAAGAGCACATTAAGACTAAAAATTAATCTATCAGTACTTGGAAAAGGTAACATGAATCTTTTTATCTTTAAAAAGGTAAAGTATTTAGTTTCTACATGAATCTGTGAATTGTAAAATCAAAGTAATCTAAAATCAAATTATTGTGCAACTGAGATACTAAAACACATGAGATTTTAAGATTAGATGGTATCCAGACTAATCCAATAAGCTAGTCCAATGTAACTGGAGGATTTCAGAACTCAAGAAAATAAAGTCTGTCACTGTTTCCATCATTTCCCCATCATTTGCCATGAAGTGAAAGGATCAGATACCATGATTTTAGTTTTTTGAATGTTGAGTTTTAAGTCAGCTTTTTCACGCTCCCCTTTCACTTTCATCAAGAGGCTCTCTAGTTCCTCTTTACTTTCTGTCATAAGAGGGGTGTCATCTGCATATCTGAGGTTATTGATACTACTCCTGGCTTGTGCTTCATCCAGCCCGGCATTTTGTATGATGTACTCTGCATATAAGTTAAATAAGCAGGGTGACATTATACAGCCTTGAGGTACTCCTTTCCCAATTTGGAACCAGTCTGCTGTTCCATGTCCGGTCTTACTGTTGCTTCTTGATGTGCACACAGATTTCTCAGGAGGCAGGTAAAGTGGTCTGGTATTCCCATCTCTTTAAGAATTTTCCACAGTTTATTGTGACCTGCACAGTCAAAGGCTTTGGTGTAGTCAATAAAGCAGAAGTAGATGTTTTTCTGGAACTCTCTTGCTTTTCTGATGATCCAATGGATGTTGGCAATTTGATCTCTGGTTCCTGTGGCTTTTCTAAAACCAGCTTGAACATCTGGAAGTACTCGGTTCATATATTGTTGAAGCCTCGCCTGGAGAATTTTGAGCATTACTTGGCTTGCATGTGAGATGAGTGCAACTGTGTTGTAGTTTGAACATTCTTTGGCATTGCCTTTCTTTGGGATTGGAATGAAAACTGACCTCTCCCAGTCCTGTAGCCACTGCTGAGTTTTCCAAATTTGCTGGTATATTGAGGGCAGTACTTTCACAGCATCATCTTTTAGGATTTGAAGTAGCTCAACTGGAATTTCATCACCTCCACTAGCTTTGTTTGTAGTGATGCTTCCTAAGGCTCACTTGACTTGGCTTTCCAGGATATCTGGCTCTAGGTGAGTGATTACACCACTGTAATTATCTGGGTCATGAAGATCTTTTTTGTATAGTTCTTCGGTGTATTCTTGCCACCTCTTCTTCATATCTTCTGCTTTTGTTAGGTTCATACCGTTTCTGTCTTTTATTGTACCCATATTCGCATGAAATGTTCCCTTGGTATCTCTAATTTTCTTGAAGAGATCTCTAGTCTTTCCCATTCTATTGTTTTCCTCTATTTCTTTGCACTGGTCACTGAGGAAGGCTTTCTTATCTCTCCTTGTTATTCTTTGGAACTCTACATTCAGATGGGTATATCCTTCCTTTTCTCCTTTGCCTTTTGCTTCCCTTCTCTCAGCTATTTGTAAGGCCTCCTCATACAAACCTTTTGCCTTTTTTTGCATTTCTTTTTCTTGGGGATGGTCTTGATCACTGCCTCCTGTACAATGTCACAAACCTCTGTCCATAGTTCTTCAGGGACTCTGTCTATCAGATTTAATCCCTTGAATCTGTTAGTCACTTCCACTGTATAATCATAAGGGATTTGATTTAAGTCATACCTGAATGGTCTAGTGGTTTTCCCTATTTTCTTCAATTTAAGTCTGAATTTTGCAATAAGGAATTCATGATCTGAGCCACAGTCAGCTCCTGGTCTTGTTTTTGCTAACTGTATAGAGTTTCTCCATCTTTAGCTGCAAAGAATATAATCAATCTGATTTCGGTATTGACCATTTGGTCTCCAAAATCACTGCAGATGGTGACTGCAGCCATGAAATTAAAATAGGCTTGCTCCTTGAAAGAAAAGCTATGACCAACCTAGACAGTATATTAAAAAGAAGAGACATTACTTTGCCAACAAAGGTCTGTCTAGTCAAAGCTATGGTTTTTCCAGTAGTCATGTATGGATGTGAGAGTTGGACGATAAAGAAAGCTGAGCGCCAAAGAATTGATGCTTTTGAACTGTGGTGCTGGAGAAGACTCTTGAGAGTCCCTTGGAGTGCAAGCAGATCAAACCAGTCAATCCTAAAGGAAATCAGTCCTGAATATTCATTGGAAGGACTCGTGCTGAAGCTAAAATTCCAATACTTTAGCCACTTGATGCGAAGTACTGACTCACTGGGAAAGATCCTGACGCTAGGAAAGATCGAAGGCAAGAGAAGGGGATGACAGAGGATGAGAGGATTGGATGGCATCACCGACTCGATGGACTGAGTTTGAGCACTCCCCTGGAGCTAGTGATGGACAGGGAAACCTGATGTGCTGCAGTCCATGGGATTGCAAAGAGTCGGACACATCTGAGCGACTGAACTGAACTGACCTGGAGGATTATTAAATGGTGTTTATCCCACTTCCTTTAGAATTAAACCTTGACCTAAATCTCACACTTTATACAACAATTAAATCAAAATAGATCACATTCTCAAATCTAAAATGTAAAAGTATGAAGTTTTTCTTAAACATGCCACTAAAAGAATAGTCCATAAAAGACAAAAATCAATAAACTAGATTTCATCAAAATTAAAACTAAAATTATAGCCCATAATATAAATAAGAACGTAAAGAATGAGCTTTTAACATCGGCAAATGTTAACACTGTAGCAACATATATTTGAGGTAAGATATGACCACACATGGGACTTCCCTGGTGGCACAGCGGTAAAATAATCTGCTTGCAATTGAGAAGACACAGGAGACACAGGTTTGATCCCTGGGTCGGGAAGATCCCCTGAAGAGGACATGGCAACTCACTCCAGTATTCATGCCTGGAAAATCCCCAGGACAGAGAAGCCTGGTGGACTACAGTCCTCAGGGCTGCAGAGTCAGACACGATGGAAGCGACTAAGCATGCATGCGCACATGGCCATACACAGATGTCATAAATCTGTAAGGCTACATGAAAAGGGGTAGTTTGCTCTTTGATCCAACTGTAAGGATGCTAGGATTTATTTCACATTTTTCATTTAAATAAAATTAATTATTTACACTTACCAGCAGCTTCTAGAACCAATTGCAGTCTTGCTTTGGCCTGTTCAGCTGGTGGCTAGAAATCAACCATAAAAAACATATACAAGTCAGTTTTAACAGAGCTTTAAATTAATGCATTATTATGTGAGTATCAGAAAATTTAGCAAACTTTACCATAATCAGTTAATATCAACCCACATCTTAACAAAATTCCATCACAGCAGCTCTATCAATCTACTTTCTCACTCTAGTAATTGAATCACACTTTTAATTATGAAAAGTGTGAAGAATGAAGTTCTTTCCTTTTTTTTAATGGAATAGGTTTTATCTACTACCCAACTTGTACCAGTCAGCAACAGGCAAAAGAAAGGCAATTTAATAATGAGGCAAAATCAACACGTTTAACAACATACTCTCAGGCTGTGTTATTTCTTAAGATATGGAAACATGCAAAATGACCTATTTAAATAACAACTTAAAGTCCAATACCTTAGGCAAATATCATATTCTAAAACCAAATATTTCCTGCTTTCTTTACAGTATTTGAAAGGAGTAATTGTGATAAAGAGAAGACACCATGTGAATTACTGCTATCAGTTCCCATTAATGTTCTTAAAATTATTCTCTCAATGAATTTTGATTCAATACAGATGATGATGTTGAAAATACTTTCCTACTAGTGACCTTATTCTGAGATTTTTGGATAATATATATTGATGGTATGCAAACTATATTGATGGTATGCAAACTATAACATGGATTGTATCACATTTATGATTTTTATGAAAGATCTGTTAAAAACTGAAAAAAGACTTTATATTAAGTTTCTGAACATGTCAGTACTGACTAATTTCATGTTTATATATGATATCATCATTTGAGAATTAATATTTTACAAGATATATTTGAATGTTTTGCAATTTGTGGAAAAACAGCCTGAAAAGAATTACATAATTGGATATAGAAAGGAGATGTTATTCTCAGAAAGGTGTAATAATTTGAATGGTGCTTCTGAATAACCTATAAGACAAATGATGGGAAAATGGTAGGTATGTCAGGAAAGACAGGGATAGCCTTTTATATCATGGAAGAGGGAGTGAACTATGGTCTAAACCTGATTTTGTAAACAAGTTTTACTGAAACACAGACACGCTCATTTGTTTATGTGTTGTCTGTAGTTGCTTTGGTGCTCAACTCAACGGCAGCAGAGTCAATTGTTTGTCGTAGGAAACTTAGGGCCAGCAAAGTCTAAAATATTTACTACTTAGATCTTTAATGAAAAAATCTGTTGACTTCTGCATATAAGGTGGAGACACTCTGGAGAACTTGGAACAGTGGGGTGATGAGATGAGATCTGCACTCTGATGCGTCATTCTAGCGATATGTCTGAGGATGGACTGAAAAGAACAAACAGAAGTCAAGGAGTTCAGTTAGGGAGCAATCACAGAGACTCAGGAGAGAGACGGCGGCGGGGCTAGTGCAGGAGGAAGGCTGGACAGGAAAAACTAGACTTGGGAAAAATTTAATCGGTGACATGAAAGGACTGACTGAAAATGAGAGAGGAAAGAGCTGACAAACAAAAAGGACATTTTACATCATGTCTGCAAAAAGATGTGTAAGTGTGTTTCATGAAGTTACAGAACTGATATCTACTGAATGTGACCTCTGTAACAGCTATAAAGGAAGCTGCGTATACAAGTCAAGCAATTAACACAAACATTTATAATCATGACAACCATTTCACAACATCTCCCATCACTTTGAGGGAACAGAGTGAGTGTGCAAACTGTGGAGTCCATGGCCCAGCTAAACAAAGCCGCTGGAACTCAGCAACAACTCGCTGTTATGCAGAAATGCAAGCCTAGGGTCATAAAATTTCTTGATTTTTCCTGAGACTTTAAGTCACCTAAAAAACAAATAGTGTGTGGAACAAACAGTACTTCTCAGAACCAGATTCAATCCCCAAACAGTCTGTGACCTCTGCCATCTACTTAACAGACACAGTAGAAACATGATACTTTGTGCATCATGAAATAACTAGAATGGCAAGAAGGAAATGATGTTCTGACTAGCAGGTCTCAGAATTATGAAGTATACATTTCAGAGTATCCTGGTAACCAGTGACCTTTGATAGAAAAAGGCGAGACACTGTACTGGTTAAGATATTTCATGGAAAAATTATAGGTTTTTCATAAGGAGAGAGTAACAAATAAGAAATATTTAAGACAAATATACAAAGTGATGAGAACCAACATCCAATAAAATATTAACAATATTGTTAAAGTCTCTTAACCCACAAAATCCCACTCCATAGCAGCTCTCCCTCTCCCCTACTTAAGACCACTCTCTTAAAAACATGGTGATTATCATCCCTAAAGAGTCTTGATGGTTGATGTTCAAGATAAAACACTTGTTAAAATATATTTATATTTATTAATTTCTTTAACAATTTATAATACAGGATTAATATTTCAAAGATAAACAAAACCAGGGAATAAGAGGAGTTTACTAACTTGCCTTTACTAGTAAATGACAGATTGAAATTTAGACCTACTGACCCCAGATCTCAGGATTCTTTTAATTACTAGGATATTCATAAAGTCAAAGCAATTAATTTCATATATAAAAGAATAAGGATAGGCTTTTTATTTTCAACCTTTATAATTTAATTTTGGTAATATTTTGTTTATCTAAAATTGGTAAATGGTACTAATGTTATTTAGAGCCAGAAAAGAAACTTTCCCGCCAGACTACTCTGTTCATGCGATTCTCCAGGCAATAATACTGGAGTGGGTTGCCATGCCCTCCTCCAGTGGATCTTCCCAACCCAGGGATCAACCCTGCATCTCATATGTCTCCTGCACTGGCAGTCACATTGTTTCCCACCAGAGCCACCAGAAAGTGAAAGCCACTCAGTTGTGTCTGACTCTCTGCAACCCCAGGGACTATACAGTTCATGGAATTCTCCTGGCCAGAATACTGGACTGGGTAGCCTTTCACTTCTCCAGGGGATCTTCCCAACTCAGTGATCAAACCAGAGTCTCCTGCATTGCAGGTGGGTTCTTTACTAACTGAGCTATCTGGGAAACCACCTGGGAAGCCTCAAATAACTAAGAAGCTAGTATCAAATACAAATGTTTGGAATATAGCAATTTCTCATTAAACAACTATAAAATGAAGAGATATTTAAGAACACAATGTCAAAATTATATTGCATGAAGCAAACTTACAGAGAAAAAATTGTATCCTGTTGAAAAATAATATTCCTTAAATCAAAATGAATAATAGAGTTTGATAAATATTACCAAAATTGAAATATAGAGTATAAATGTGTTCCCTTAAAAAATAAATATTAGCACTGACATTTACAGAATAGCAAGAATAGTATAAATTTTTACTGTAAGTTTTCATATCATATATATCATATAGGGCTTACATTTTCTAAATTAATAGAGGTCCTTTTTGTGGAGAAAGGGGTTAAAAGTCTTTTATTGCCATGGATTATACAGAACTACCCTGCTCTCCAGAGAAGGCAATGGCAACCCACTCCGGTACTCTTGCCTGGAAAATCCCATGGACAGAGGAGCCTGGTGGGCTGTAGTCCATGGGGTCGCTAAGAGTCGGACACGACTGAGCGACTTCACTTTCACTTTTCACTTTCATGCACTGGAGAAGGAAACAGCAACCCACTCCAGTGTTCTTGCCTGGAGAATCCCAGGGATGGGGGAGCCTGGTGGGCTGCCTACTATGGGGTTGCACAGAGTTGGACAGGACTGAAGCGACTTAGCTGCAGCAGCAGCAGGCTCTTTCTCTTTCCCTTAGTAGCCAAGTATACCCGCATAACTCCATCTGTAAACCCAAGTTTTAGACAAGAGCACTCACTTTCTTAGGAAGAAACAAAAGCTCCTAAGGTGAAACCAAAAGATAGGTCAGTCTCTTGATGATTATGGACCTCAAGGTCTAGGCTGTTTCCTTCAACTTTGGGTTTATTCTTATTTGGTCCAATCCCCTGAGTTCCTTACAAACTGACTGCTTGTCTAGATTCTCAAAATACTGCCAGAGCTAACATTCCAAACCAGCACAATTCTTTGAGCCAAGACCATTAAAAAAAGAGAGAGAGAGAGAGAGAGAGAGAGAGAGAGAGAGAGAGAGAGAGAAACAAAAAGAAGCCTAACCTTAACAAAAACCATTTAAGCTATTTGCTCACTCTTCCCACTTCTATTCATTTTTAGCTTCCTAACCACTGGCCACCACTATGGGAATTCTGCAAGTTGATGAAACTATAGCCATTCCAGCTGCCAACCACAGTCTTGGGGTTGTTAATGACAGGGAGGTATAAAGTCTGAAAAACTTGTCGAGCAAAGAGAGAACTCAAGCTTAGAAAGAAACACTTCACAAAATCAAAACTAGGACTGCATTATATGGTTTTCAGCTATTACTCTCAATTTTATCTTATCATGGGCTCATTTTGTACAAAAAATATATACAGTGAGGATACTGGAAGATGGCAGAGTAGGAAGCACTAGGAACCTGTCTCCCCATCTAGACAATAACTGCACTGGCAGAATCGGTCAGACACAACTCTTTTAGAACTCTGGAATCTGTTGAAAGCTGGCAAGTACCAGGGGAAGACTTAGTATATTGCAGTTAATTTCTGTCAATTTCAGCTATTAGGGACTTCCCTGGTGGTTCAGTGGTTAAAACTCCCCCATCTCAGTGCAGGGGGCATGGGTTTGATCCCTGGTCAGGAAACTAAGACACTGCATGCCACATGGTGTGGCCTAAAAAAAAAAAAAAAAAAATTAATAAACTTTCAAATTCTGTTTTAAAAAAATTCAGCTATTAGCACAGTAGCAACTATCCATCCCCCGATGCCAGCCACATAGCTAACAACAGCGCACCTGTTCCTGAAGCTGCTTGCCCACAGCAGAAGTGTTGGTACGAAGGTGGAGAAATCGGGAGCCCTTGTGTACTGCTGACAGCAATTAAAACAGTACAGTGTTGTGGAAAACAATAATGCAATACCTCAAAAAACTAAGACACAAAATTACCATATGATCCAGAAATTCCAAATCT